TCTTGTCTATGCGGTTCCCCCTCCGCCCTAGCATAAACCACACCTTTGGCGTGCGGTTTTCAATTAATGGTGCTAAATTTGGAATTTTGTGGTTTGGTGCCATCTTTGTAAAATTTTTTAAATAGTGCTATTTCTGGATTTTTTCAAGAATAATAGGATCAATAAGTGAATGAAGTTTATCATTCATGAATCTAATTGTTTTTTCGATCACGGTGATGAATGATGTCCAATCCTTTTCGTCGCAAGATTAATCATCAGACATCTCATCACCAATCAAACAACGTTAATATATTATCTGCTTTGGATGAAGTAGAGGGTAAGTAACTATGAGTGTTAACATCAAAGAGTTTATATGGAATACCCTTGAAAGAAGCTTGACTTTATGGTTCATTTTCTTAGATGTTTGTCACTTTGTTTCCCGCCGTTCATTTAGTGATATAACAAATTATTGATGTTTCTGCTTCCTGTGGACTCAACTGTCGGATCCTATCTCTCTAGGATTTTTGCTCTGCCTTCTTATTAAGTTTTAAATTTCATGCATCAATGGGGGATGTTGCGATGCCCTTCCGGCGACCAGGGGCGTCCCTCCACCCCTTGGTTTCCCTTTCCTTTTCTTTTCCCAACATTTTTCTTTGCTTTCTTTGGTCTTTCTTTGCTTCTCCAACTTTGTTTCAACTCATCTTTTCTCCACTACATGGGTCCTCTCTATTCCCCTTTGTTGATTCACCTTTTGTCCCTCTAGTCTGGTTTCTAGATCTGGAGATAATTGATCTAAATGGCTAGGAAGTTGGTCGATTCAATCGTCCAGCTTGTCTTCCCCCTCCCTCCCCCTTTCTTTCGTCTATCTCCTTATTGTTTCACCCTGCGCGTCTCGGTGATTTAGAGATGCAAGAGCCCTTTGTTTGGACTTGGGTTGGAGAGTTCGAAGACAGAAGATATTCCCCCTCTCTTTCGTCATTCCATTGTCTTCCTAGTCGATCTGATGCATGTTTTGTAGCCTGGGTATTGGAGATGCTAACGGCTATTGGTTCAGGAAGGTATGTTTTGGAGGGTTCCTCTCTGCTGCACTCCATCCAGGATTGGCATGAAACTGACTCCCTTTTCCGTGGAGGTGACTCGTCGGTGGACGAGGGTGCATGTTGAGTCTGTTGGCGGAGGTTTTTCATCTGGCTGCGGTTGTTGTTTTCAGAGGGGATGCTTGGCGGCTAAGGTTTAGGATTTTTTTTGGACTGTGTTTTGGTCCTGGATTAGGGCCCTATTGGGTTCCGTCCTGGACCTTGAATTTAATTTCTCCTCCCCATAGATGTTTTGTAATGTGTATCTTTTCCTTTTGAGTCAGGACATTTTGTCGTCTTAATGAACTAAGTTTTGTAAAAAAATATACTACGGGGTCGTTTGGTTTTGGTGATAGTTTGGTTGGCATAATTACAAACCACAAGGCATCTTTTTTTTTCTCTATACAAACAATGCATGCATTGTTTGTTTGATTTGACACAAACAATCACTCAAAATGAGTGATAGTTAAATTTCAAGTTTTTTGTGAAATTGTTGAGAATGTTTGGTTAAGATTGTGGGGTTTTTTCTTCTTTCAACTATGTCCCTACCATTTTTATGTGTGTTGGTTTTCGGGTTAATTGCAAGTTTGGTCACTGAGTTTATTAAAAAGGTTCATGTTTGGTCACTAAAAATATTTAACTCCATTTGTGGTCACTAAAATTAGTTAAACATTTCAAATTTGGTCACTCTCCGTCCAACTCCATTAACTTTATATGATGTGGCAGTTAACTTTTAAAGTTGACCAATAATTGAGTGCGTGACAATTAAAAAATAATAAATAAAATAATTTTTAATATTACAAAATTCCAACTCATTTTTACATAAAATAAATAAAACAAAAAATTATTGTAATTACAATATCTCCATTTTATATGTTTATTGTTCTTCCCGTAACCGAAAAGCCCACTCACCCCGTAAAAAAAAAGCCCACCACAGAGAAGATGTGGTCTTCCCTCTCCCCCATCTCTCACCGTCCCAATCTCCAGCTACCATGGCGGCAGGACTCTCCTACTCTGTCGCCGCCGTAGTTTTCAAATATCTCCGCCAGTTCCACAACGCAGCTCGCCCATAGTCCCCTTCCCTCCCTCGAGAAATACTCCCGCGATACCAAGATCTCCAGATATGCACCATTGGAGAACTCAGAATCGAAATCTCTGCCAGTTTGCTCTTCAAGTCTCTACTACGCCTGAGCGCACAGTCTCTCCAAAAGAATCCTCGCACGCTCAGCCGCGCTCCAGCCATTGACGCTCGGCTTCTTGCTTTCCATGACCTCCTTCACAAAACAAGTCTTCGTTCTCACAACTGAAATAGATCGTGCTCTATTCTGCTTCAAGCTTGATTGCCCTGAGAGAAACTGAAAACAGAAAGAAAAGGAAGGAAACAACCATCTCGTAATCGAAAAAGCTTCTCCGTAACCCTAATCGAAACAATATTTTTCCAATCGTGAAGTTTTATCGGGAACCAAACCGGGACTTACCAGGGAGTAACAGTGAAAGAGACTACGAAGCCCTAACATACCCACCACCGTCGTCGTTTTCCTCTGGACTACCCACACGAATTGCTGGAGAAAGTCTCCGATTCCGACCCCGTCATGGCAGGACCTGGGAGCGCCGGCGTGAAGAAAAGCTTCGATTCCGACCCGGCTTCCTCCTCAGCGCCTACTTTCAATTTGATAATTATAATAACTTTTTATGTTTTATTTATTTTATTATATAATGAAAATGAGCTGGAATTATAAAATATGAAATTTCAATTTATTTATTATTTTCAATTGTCACGTCACTCAGTTAAAGGTCAACTTTGAGAGTTGACTGCCACGTCAGACAAAATTAACGGAGTTGGACGGAGAGTGACCAAATTTGAAATGTTTAACTAATCTTAGTGACCATGAATGGAATTAAATATTTTTAGTGACCAAATATGAACCTTTTTAATAAACTCAGTGACCAAAGTTGCAATTAAATCGTTGGTTTTCATATCTGAATTGCTATTCGTCGCCCTAAATTTTAAATTTTTTCGCCCTAAATCATATTACATTGACATTTATACCCTTATTTACAATATCGATCCCCAACCCCTAACTTCCTCCCACAGGCCAAATTCAGGTAGTCGCCGCCACCGTTCACCCAACCTGCCGCACCTCCCGTTCCCCCAACCCACCATCGTTGTTTTTCCCCAGCCGCTGACCCGCTACCATTGCAGAGAAGGAGAAAGAATCGCACCAGTCGGATTCACAGCCGTGGCCATTCCCCCAGCAAGTCGACCCGTGGCGATTCCCCAAATCCGCCGACCCGGTGCAATTGCTGAGGAAGGAGAAAGAAGACGCAGGAGGAAGTGTCCGAGCGCTGGGCACCTGCTGCGAATCTCCCAATTCGCCGGCCTGAAGTGTGTAAAAACATCGATTCCCCAATCCGCCGCTGCCGTTCCCCCAGCCCACCGACCGGCTGTTGCTTTTTGGAAACACAGCGGCGGCGACGGAGCATAAAGAGGAAGAAGTAAAGGGAAATGGAAATGGGAGGCAGGGGAAGCTTTCACTGTCAAGTTCAAGTAGTGATCGAAAACTCTTTCAAGTACAAAGCAGCCAAGTAGTGACCAGATGAAGATAAAGGCCAAGAAGTTCAAGTAGATGATCGGTCACTATCGGCGACACTTATTCCGCGCAGCCGGCGAGCCCGGACAGGTTGTATTGGAGAATTTTGTTTTATTGATTCAATTTTAGCGTTTAAGTGTTCCGAAAGACAAAAATAAATTGAGGACATTAAAGTAAATTTAACATAATTAGGGCGACGAATAATGAGTTTTAGGGCGACGAATAGCAATCCCCTTTCATATTAAAATCAAAGAGTAAAAGTAACATTTCACTCAAAAAGTAATATAATTTATTTAAATACTACAATAATTATCAAAAAATCCAAACGATGTAAACTACAACGCACAACTATTCTATATGTATATTATTATGCATGAATTGATGACAATACATCAATTTAACTATCACCAAAAGCAAACGACCCCTACAGGTAGGGCTGGAAGTTTGGTACCGGTATTTGGGATATACCGAATACCGTACCGAATTTCTCTATATTTGGTATTACTAAATACACGTATTATTTTTTGGGATTGGGATTCAATTTCAATTGTTATTCGGTATTAGGGATTACGGGATTGCGATCGGTATATACCGAAATACCGAACAATACCAAAATATAAGCTAATGTGTATTTTATGCTCTCAAGTCTCAACTAAACTCTCTCATTCAATACTACACGACCCTCAATCACTAATCTATTGTTATTTTCATAACATTAAAAAAACAAACACTAGTATTAGTCTTCTCTTAGTCTCCAATTCATCAAATTAAAGATTACCAATGACAAAAACTTGAGATGTCACCTCTCATCCATTCTCCTTATTCATATCCTAAGTCTAGCCAAACTCAAGACTCTTTGCTTAGTCTCTTTGTCCTATATTAAGCAATCAAATCTAATTAATTTCTTATTCGATAATACCGATTGGGATACCAAAGTACCGATTGGGATACCGAAATATTTAGGGATTGGGATTGGGATACCAAAATTATTTAGGGATTGGGATTGGGATTGAATTTAGAATGTAATTCGGTATTCGATATTTTGATATTTGGTATTGGGATACCGATACCGTACCGATTTCCACCCCTACCTACAGGCTACAAGTTATTTCTGTCTATTTCTCATTGCATTATCAATGAGGGGGAAACCGAGTGTTAGTGGGGTTCGATACACCGGGAAAGGCTTTGGGTTTACATTTTTTTATAAGGGTGATATAGTTTTATTTTTTATTGTTCATTTATTACTTAACGAATTTTGAATCTGCAACCTTCAGGTTCAGGACTAGTGGTATTACCACTATTTGACACCCTAAAAATTTAAAATTTCGCACTAAATTTGAGAAATTGACACCATTGCCCCTGGCCCAATTTCTAACCTAAATCCCCAAATGAACAATCTTGGCGCCAACCCCAAACCCTCTCATACCGCCGACGATGCTCCCCGCCGCCGCTGCTACTCTGATGCTCTAAGCTTGACGGGGAAAGAGGACGAAGAAAAAGCAGGACGATGTCCACATGCCCAATCGTTCTCGTCGTGCAGCAACCTGATTCGGAGGTTCTCCTTCCTCCTCGGCGACGCGCGGCTCTTGTTTCCTTCCTCCTCTGTGACGGCGCGCTTCTGGTTTGGAGAGCGGCGCGGCAGGTCTGAGTACGAGTGGAGAGAAGGGAAGGGGACGACAGGGGGTGTGGGGGCGGCGGCGCCGATCGTCGGGCGAGGCGAGTAGAAGCAGGGAGAGATGGCAGCGCCAATCGTCTAGCATGAGCAGGAGCAGAGGGAGGCGGCGGCGGCTCGTCGGTTCAGGGTTTAGGGCAATTTAATTGGAAAGCTCTCCAACTTGTTTCGGGTTGATGTTTTTGTTAATTGGGACCAAAATTGTCCATTCAGTATAGTTTATGGTGATTTATTCGAAAATTTAGTTGTGTTAAATAAAAGTTCACTTACCACTTATCATTTTTTTTACAATAACAAACGACTTTTACTCCACCATCAAAATAAAAATGAGAATCGTGCGATTACAATCTTACAGGAGATCAGAAATTAAATCAAGAATATTGATCCAGTCCTCTGGCAAGGTAGATCTGGCCTTCGAGCGTGCAACCCAATCAGCTCTGACGTTTAAAGTCCTTGGAACCTCTTTGACCTTAATGGCAGGATTTGTCCTAAGAATAGTGACCATAGAGTTAATCCAGGGCCAGCGAGAATGGTTATGATTCAGAGCATTCACCAACTGTTGACAGTCAGATTGAACTGTACATTCCGATCCATATTCTTGTGCTAATTTTAGACCTTCCAAAAGAGCTTTCGCTTCCGCTTCTATCGGGTGGAACAAAGAAGTGTCTCAGCTCGCCCATCACACACTTTTCCATGGTGGTTAACAACCACAACACCATATGCCACCGTCTGGGAGTCGCTAAAGAACGACCCATCACAATGAATCACCAAAGAGTGATTACTTAGCGGGGGGATTCGTAGTATGCTGGGGGTTCCCTTGAGCTGAGTAGGAGAGATGAGGCTGGGAGGTGGGGACCTCGGGCAGGAAGTCCATTCTGTTAGTTCTCTGTAGGTTTGTATGCAGACGTTTGGGGGCCAGGGAACTCTCTTCTTGAAAGTACACTCATTCCTTGCCTTCCAGATATTCCATCATAGGAAAACAATGTGAATCAGCAATTCATGGGAAATGGTATCCTTAAGAGCACAGAGCCAATCAAAAAAGAGGAATTCTGGGGAGGGAGTGGAAGAGATGGGAAAATAGCATTCCAGGTGTCACAAGCATGTTGACGGTAGAAGAGGCAGTGGATGATAGACTCATGCGGGTATTGACAAACTTCACAAGTCTGGTTCGCGGCACATTTTCGGTGAAAAAGTCTCTCTTTAGTTGCCAACCCGTTTCTGGAGCATCTCCAAATGAAGAATTTGAGCTTTGGTGGAAGATTAAGCCCCTAGATCCATTTCCACTTCTCTGCATTCCCTGTCGTTTGAAAGTTTGTGTTAGCTTTGTGAAAAGCATGGTAAGCAGTCTTAACCGTGAAACCTCCATCCTTGGTGAGACTCCAAGCCCAAAAATCATCTTATCCTTCTTCCCCAATTGGAATTCGAAGGATAGCTTTCATTTCCTCATTTGAGACATGGCCTTGAAAACTCTGAGTTCCAACTCCTATCTTCCTGGTTGATCCAGTCATTCACCCTCAGGTTCTGCTGGGGCCCATTTTGAATGCCGAAATTTTGCAGAGTAGGGATCCACGGGTCAAGACCAACCCAAGTATCCTTCCCAGACCCAATGACCTTAATTGCTCCCATGTTGATGACTTTTTTTGCCTCCCAGAGACTAGCCCAGATCCAAGATGATCTGTTTCCCTTCTTTGCTTGAAGAAAATCCCCTCTCGGGAAATACAGGCCCTTGAGGAGTCGGCACCAAAGGGAATCAGGGGAGTTTAGAAGCCTCCATGCTTGCTTACCCAAAAGGGCCATGTTAAAGTCTTTGAAACTCCTAAACCTCAATACCCCTTCCGCTTTAGGTGCGCACAGAATCTCCTTCCTACACCAATGAAGACTACTCTTCTGCATAGACCCTAACCAGAAGAAATTGGTAAGGAGAGAATCCATTTTCTTGGTAAGGGTCACCGGGAGATGGAAAAGGTACATGATGTATGAGGGGATATCTTGAATAACATCTTTGAGCAAGATTTCTTTCCCTCCATGAGAGAGAAGGAGACTTTGCCAAGCTTCCCCCATCTTCTCCATTCTTTGAATGAGGAATTGAAAGGTCTCCTTCTTTGAATTACCCCACTCCGTCGGGACTCCCAAGTACTTTGAGTGACAATTAGAAGACGAGAAACCGATGTGGTCAATGATACTGGCTTTGTCATCACTGGGAACATTCGCGCTGAAGAAAACGGAGGACTTATTGATATTGACTTCATCTCCTGTGATTGCTCCATAATCTCTTATAAGCTCCAGGATTCTCTCAGCTTCATGATGGTTTGCTCTACCAAAAATGCAGTATCATCAGCAAATAAACAATGGGTGAGCACCGGGCATCTGGAATTCAGTTTGATCCCTTTTAATTGTTCCTGGGAGACCGCATTATCAATTAAAAAAGAGAGCGCATTAGACATCAAAATGAAAAGGAAAGGGGATAGAGGATCTCCCTGTCTTATGCCTCGTGACGGTGTGAACTCTTCTGTTGCTTCCCTATTGAAGAGGATGGAAAGTCTGCCAGACCGGATGCACGAACTGACCCACTTGCACCACCTCTCATCAAACCCATAACTCTTCAGAAGTTTTTCCAAACATTCCCAGTCCACCATATCGTAAGCCTTTTTCATATCAAGCTTTAGCATCATGTCTCTTCTTCTTCCTCTCTTATGGTTCTTAAAATGATGGAGAGCCTCATGAACAATGATGATGTTATCTTGAATAAGCCTCCCCCCAGTGAAGGCAGTCTGTAGCTCTGAGACAAGGTAAGGTGTCCAAATCTTAAGGCGTGTCGCCATAATTTTGGATATAACCTTATATCTAAAATTGCAGCAACTAATTGGGCGAAACTGGCTTATCATCTCTGGGTTATCAACCTTGGGAATCATTACAATGTGTGTTTCATTCCAACCATCAGGCATTGAGGCAGACTCGAAGAACTCTTTAACTTCTCTGCACACTGTCTCCCCAATGATATCCCAGAATCGACGATAAAACCTACCTGAGAAACCATCCGAACCAGGGGCTTTTTTCGCTCCTAAGCTAAAGACTGCTCTCCTAATTTCCTCACTGGTCACTGGCGCACAGAGTGCCTCATTAATCTCTGTCGTGACGCTTTCTGGGAATCCCTCCAGGAGTTGGTTAACCGGAGTAGGGTTTCTAGCTCTAAACAGCTCTTTATAGAAATCTTGGGCTAATCCTTTAAGCCTATTCTCATCTTCAACCCAAACTCCCTCATTATCCTTAAGTCTAAGGATTCTCTTCTTATGTTTTCTATAAATCGTACTCGAATGAAAAAAGGAAGTGTTATGGTCACCTTTCTGAAGCCAATTCACCCTCGAGCACTGTTTCCAGTACGCTTCCTCTTCCACCCAAATCTTTGACAATTCTTCCATAAGAGTCTTCTCTTCATCCGCTGTATCCTGAGTTCTGGGCGGGCGTTGCAGAATCTCAAGACGATCAAGGATAACATTCTCCCTTTGCAACCTGTTTTTATGGAAATCCTTTGACCACTCTTTGAGATCCCGTTCACATTTGCTAAGCTTGTTGGACGATTGACCCCTTGGATCCCACGCTCGGGCCACAATTTCCTTACATTCTTCTTTCTCAAGCCATCTCTCATCCACCCTGAAAGGTGTCTTTCTCCTTATATTACTTCTGTAGTGGAGCTCCAGTCTGATTGGGCAATGATCTGATTCCACCATCTTTTCATGGAAGACCACCGCCTCCCCGAAAAGGGTTCTCCAAGATGCCGAGCAAAGTACTCGGTCTAAACGAAATCTAGTAGTATTCTGCCCCGTCCTCTTATTTGTCCAGGTAAAAGGCTCTCCTTTAAACCCTAGATCAATAAGAGCATTATGGAAAATGAATCTTTTAAAGGGTTCCACATTCTCGTACCTAAGGGGACATCTACCCTCTTTTTCGTTTTCATAGATAGCAGCATCGAAATCTCCTACAACAACCCAATTCTCATCCCTACTACTCCGAAGGGAGCTCAAGTGCTACCAAAAACCCCTTCTACTAACAGCAGTAGAGGGTGCATGAACAAAAGTACAAAAAAACTTCCTACCCATGTCAATACTAACATCCATATAGTAGCTATCACTACTTAAAACACTAATACTAATACCCGCTTTCCACCATAAAGCAAAACCCCTAGAAGAGTTAACCGGTTCAACATACTCTCTATTGGGGAAAATCTTGAGACTTCTTCTTTGCTCCTCCATGAATGCTTCGTTCTTGCTCATCTCCATGAGGAAAACAATAGAAGGGCCTAAGCGTTTACAGATACGCTTTGCATAACTTCTTGTAAGGGGTGGGCCAAATCCCCTACAATTCCAACTTATAATACTCATTTTTGAAGAGGTGGCTTCTGGCTAACCACCGCTGCCTTTCCTCTCCTTCCTGGGTCCTCTTGATCCCCCTCCGAGTGATTTCCCTTTGAGCTGCCGAATTGCTAAGATTTATACTTCGCATTCTTCTTCTTTTTGTTTTTCCCTCCAGGCCCACCCACAAAAGTAACTTCTGCTGGGCTCAAAGAGGTAAGGGCTTCCACATTTAAATTAGTTGCTAGGCCCGTTCCCTTCCTTTTTTTTAGCCTGCGGTCCACTTCATCCTCCAGGCCTACATGCACATGCTGGTAGTAAGCAGACTCAGCAAGGCCCGCCCAGGCTTGGTAATGGGCTGAAGATGCTTGAAGACCCGGCCCAAGTGAGAGCCCTGTCTCCACCGCCACTTCCCTCTGCTCGGCCTCTTGGAGAATTCTCTCCTCCTCCAACCGCAATCCTCCTTCCATCGCCGTCGCCGCCCTGTCCATCTCTACCCCCAAATCTTTTGCACCCATCTCGTCCCTGTATCTTCCTCTCTGTCTTCCTTGTATTTCTTGCTCCTCCTCTTCTTGAACTTCTTGTTCAAGTCTTCTGACTGTAAATCCTGGCGGGATCAGCTGGTACCCCTCCGAACTTCTTCCTCCCGCCACGGTCAACCCTCCAGCTTCATCCTCTCCCGATCGACCGTAGCTTCCCGATCTCGATCTGTCTCTCCCAACCGATGAACTTTGCGATCCTTCACCCTCCCTTCTGCTTCTGACTTGTGACGAATGGTGCCTATGGGGAGAGTCGATTCCAGCCTTTAGGGATGAATTATAGATATCTGACAGGTGGGGACTCCGTTCTTCCTCCTCTCTTTGTTCATCCTCCAGCACGTCGGCCAGTTATGGCATATTCTTCCGCAAAAATAACATAGTTCCA